GTATTCAGTATAAAATACAGAAACTGTTCAGTCCAATCTAAAGACTTTGGATAATTACCTCCCAATCTTACCAGTTCCAGATGAAATGAGCAAGGACAGTCAGTTCCTTGGCTTCATAAAGATTTCATTGTGAGCCACATCTACAAAGAGGAAGTGGCCAGGAAGAAGCTAACCACTTGTCACCAGAGGGATCTGAACTTGGTTATATATAAATATTTCAGAGCTTTTATTATAGTCTTTACCCAGCCTGCAGCAAGAAAGAGGAATGAGGGCCTACTGTAAATTAGACTATATACATATATATATATATATATATATATATATATATATATATATATATACACACACACTTATATACAGTTGTGGCCAAAAATATTAGTACCCCTTCATTTCTGTTAGATAAAGCACCACTTTGCACAGAAAATTATTGCAATTACAAATGTTTAGGCGTTCTCATGTCTACTTTTTTTGTTTGTATTGGTATGACACAAAAAAGTGGAGAAACAGAAAGCCAAATCTGACACATTCCACGCAAAACCCCAAGAATGGACTAGACATTATAAGTTTGTGATTCTCCTGTAATTTATAATTAAACTCACCTGTATCAGTTAACAGATGCTGACAATATAGAAATCACTCCAACAACCAGTTAAAATAGTGAAAAATTGACTCAACCTTTCTGTTGTGTGTCTCTGTGTGCCACATGGAGCATGGAGAAGAGAAACAGCAGCAAATAATTGTCTGAGGACTTGAGAACAAACATTGTGGAAAAGTATGGATAATCTCAAGGTTACAAGTTCATCTCCAGAGATCTTAATGTTCCTGTATCCACTGTGTGCAACATTGTCGAGAAGTTTGCAGACCATGGCACTGTAGCTAATCTCCCTGGATGTGGACGAAAGAGAAAAATTAAGCAAAAATTGCAAATAAGGATTGTTCGAATGGTGGATAAAGAACTTTGATCAGCTTCCAGACAATTTCAAGCTGACCTTCAGGCAAAGGGTACAACTGTGTCAGCTTGCACTATTTGTCACCATCTGAATGAAAAGGGACGCTATGGTAAAAGACCTAAAAGGACCCCACTGCTGACACAGAAACATAAATAAACCAGATTGGAGTTTGCTAAAACTTACCTGAGGAAGCCACAATCCTTGTGGGAGAATGTGCTGTGGACAGATAAAACAAAATTACAGCTTTTTGGTAAAGCCCATCATTCTTCTGTCAATACAGTCCCTACAGTCAAACATGGTGGAGGTTCACTGGTATTTTGGGGTTGCTTTGCTGCTTCAGGTACTGGATGTCCTCACCGTGTATGGAATTATGAAATCTGAAGACTACCAAATAATTCTGGGGTGTAGTGTAGGGCCCAATGTCGGAAAGTTGGGTCTCCGTCATAGGTCATGCGTCTTACAGCAGGACAATGACCCAAAGCACATGTCAAAAAGCACCCAGAAATGGTTTAAGAGAAAGCACTAGAGAGTACTGAACTGGTCCAGATCTTAATCCCGTAGACCACCTGTGGAGCGATCTCAAAACAGCACTTGGGAAAAGAAACACTTCCAACCTAAGAGACCTGAAGCAGCTAGTGAAAGGTGAGTGGTCCAAAATTCCAGTAGAGAGGTGTAAAAAACAAATTGATGGTTACAGGAAGCGACTGATTTCAGTTATTTGTTCCAAGGGGTGTGCCAGCAAATATTAATTTGAGGGTTCCAATAATTTTGTCCAGTCCATTTTTGTGGTTTTGGATGAAATGTGTTAGATTTGGCTTTCTGTTTCTCCACTTTTCTGTGCCATACCAACACAAACAAAAGAAATAAACATGAAGATACCTAAACATTTGTAATTGCAATAATTTTCTGGGTGAAGTAGTGCATTATCTGACAGAAATGCTGGGGTGCCAATATTGTGATAGACCAACACAAAGTGGCACATAATTCTGAAGTGGAAGGAAAATGATACATGGTTTTAACATTTTTTTTACAAATAAATATCTGAAAAGTGTGGCGTGCATTTGTATTCTGTCCCCTTTCTCTGATACCCCTAACTAAAATCTAGTGGAACCAATTGCCTTCAGAAGTCACCTAATTAGTAAATAGAGTCCACCTGTGTGTAATTTGATCTCAGCATAAATACAGCTGTTCTGTGAAGCCCTCAGAGGTTTGTTAGAGAACATTAGTGAACAAACAGCATCATGAAGGCCAAGGAACACAACAGGCAGGTCAGGGATAAAGCAGTGGAGAAGTTTAAAGCAGGGTTAGGTTATAAAAAAAATCCCAATCTTTGAATACCTCACGGAGCACTGTTCAATCCATCATACAATCAGGACAATGCTAATGGAAAATGGAAAGAGGATGGCACAAACCTACCAAGATATGGCCGTCCACCTAAACTGACAGGCCTGGCAAGAAAAGCATTAATCGGAGAAGTAGCCAAGAGGCCCATGGTAACTCTGGAGGAGCTGCAGAGATCCACAGCTCAGGTGGGAGAATCTGTCCACAGGACAACTATTAGTTGTGCACTCCACAAATCTGGCCTTTGTGGAAGAGTGGCAAGAAGAAAGCCATTGTTGAAAGAAAGCCATAAGAAGTCCCGTTTGCAGCCATGTGGGGACACAGCAAACATGTGGAAGAAGGTGCCCTGGTCAGATAAGACCATAATTGAACTTTTTGGCCTAAAAGCAGAATGCTATGTGTGACAGAAAACTAACACTGCACATCACCCTGAACACACCATCACTGCCGTGAAACTTGGTGGTGGCACCGTCATGTTGTGATGTTGTGGGGATGCTTTTTTTCAGCAGGGACAGGGAAGCTGGTCAGAGTTGATGGGAAGATGGATGGAGCCAAATACTGGACAATCTTAGAAGAAAACCTGTTAGAGTCTGCAAAAGACTTGAGACTGGGCTGGAGGTTCACCTTCAAGCAGGTCAACAACCCTAAACACAGCCAGAGCTACAATGGAATGGTTTAGATCAATGCATATTCATGTGTTAGAATGGCCCGATCAAAGTCCAGACCTAAATCTAATTTTAAGAAATCTGTGGCAAGACTTGAAAACTGCTGTTCACAGACGCTCTCCATCCAATCTGATAGAGCTTGGAATGGGCAAAATTTTCACTCTCTAGATGTGCAAAGCTGGTAGAGACATACCCAAAAAATACTTGCAGCTGTAATTGCAGTAAAGGTGGTTCTACAAAGTGTTGACTCAGGGAGGATGAATAAAATTGCACACCACACTTTTCAGATATTTATTTGTAAAAACATTTGAAAACTATTTATCACTTTCTTCCCACTTCACAATTATGTGCCACTTTGTGTTGGTCTATCACATAAAATCCCAATAAAATACATTTACATTTTTGGTCATAACATGACAAAATGTGGAAAATTTCAAGGGTTCTTCAAGGCACTGTATATATATATATATATATATATATATATATATATATATATGTACAGTATATATATGTAACACCCTCTAGGTTAGCTAGTTAATTTCTTTTTTTTGTTAGATAGAGGCTAAGTAGCAGCCAGGATGAGTCAGCCTGGGAATGAGGCAGGAGTTCACCTCAGGACAGGCTGGGAGGTTCTACAGTTCAGGTCTTCTGGAGCCCTTCCACCTTTCCATAAACCTGAGAACCTTCCAGAACAGGGGAGGAGGTGGGGAGAAAGCTCAGATCTGCATGTTTAAAGGCCCTTGTCCAATCCCTTGGCAGCAGGCTGGGCATGGTGACCAGGGCAAACTTCAAATATGACAGAGCCTGGGGAGAGAGGGGAGTCAGGTGGAAGATGGACTGAGAGAAGGCTAAAGTGTGGAGCCTCGGAGGGGGTCCCAGGGAGGTGAGCCTACCTACAGGCCGGATCTCCACTGCCTAAAGTCTGCTGGGGAGGACATTCTGTTAGCAGGGAATGAGCCAGCCCAGCAAAAGGACTGAAAGCAGCTACCAACCCACCACCCTGACAGGACAGGACAGCATGAGTACATAACACCCCCTGAGCTGGATAAGGAGAAAGCAGGGGTGGACTGACAACTCATTGGGCCCCCGGGCAATAGGTGATCATGGGTCCTTGCCCAAACTCAAAAAAGCCTATGAAAAAGGTACCAGGAGCATCTCATGGGGCCCCTACTGACCCCGGGCCCTCGGGCAGTGCCCCAGATTCCAAATGGTCAGTCCGCCCCTGGGGGAAAGGGCGGTCAGGTGCAATACTTAACTAGTTTTCACCTGGGACTACTTAAATACAAGCTCTTGGGCCCCTTTGGATACTCTCAGCACAGCTGGGTGAAGAGGAGGATTCATCCAGGGTCTGAGGAGGTACACCAGAAAGGAACAGTGCTTTACTTTTTTTTTTGCCAGTTCACTCTTTTTGTACATAGTTGCTAAGAAGTTTGTCCTCACGTTCTATAGTTCCTTGGGCATCCCATGTATCCCTTGATACCATCCAAGCTGTTAACCCCTTAATAAAAACAATTGAAAACCAGCTCAAGGACTGTTTTACTGACTCTGGAAGTACACGTATGGAAAAGAGTGTTGCCTGGCTGTGCAGGGCTTAGTGAGACCCAATGAAAATCTAGCAGCCCTTAAGAGGGTAGAGCTACATACATACACTCTACTCTACTGTGAAAATCACAGTAGATCAGCAGTTTTTTAAATACTCAGACCAGCCCGTCTGCCACCAACAACCATGTGACGTTCAATGTCACTTATACCCCCCTTCTTCCCAATCTTGATGCTTGGTTTAAACTTCAGCAAGTCGTCTTCATCACGCCTAGATGCCTAAATGCATTGAGTTGCTGCCATGTGACTGGCTGATTAGCAATTTGTGTTACCAAGCAATTGAGCAGATGTACCTAATAAAGTGGCCAGTGGAATGTATATATTCTGTGTTGATCTTATTTATCTTTAACGAACTCCCGCCATATAGTAATATGACGGGCGCAAGGTGGTTCTCTCTTTCTGGGACGTCATATGACGTCCTCCCATTCTCACTGCGTATGCGCGGCTCAGGGAGCGCGCAGCGCGGCGATCGGCGGTGCGCTGTGTCCCTCGGACACAGCGGATCACCGATCACAGAAAGAGCCGAACATGTCGGCTTGGTCATGTGAACAGCTGTGCCCAATCACAGCTGATCACATGTAAACAGGGAAATGCCGGTTATCGGCATTTCTCTCCTCTTAAGCTGCCACGCTGACAGCTCGAGAGGAGAGCTGGTAATCGGCTTTCCGCGGAGGGGACATGTACACTGATCATCAGGGCACTGATGATCAGTGTGCCCTGATGATCAGTGTAGCCCCAGCAGTGCCATCTGTCAGTGTCCATCAGTGCCAGCTGTCAGTGCTGAACAGTGCCACGTGCCAGTGCCCATCAGTGCCACATCAATGCCACATATCAGTGCCTACCAGTGCACATCAATGCCACATATCAGTGCCCATCTGAGCTGCCTTTCAGTGTCACCCATCAGTGCCAGTCAGTGCCACCTATCAATGCCAATCAGTGCCACCTATCAGTGCTGCCTATCAGTGCCTGTCAGTGCTGCCTATCAGTGCCAGTCAGTGCCGCCTATCAGTGCCGCCTATCAGTGCCTGTCAGTGCTGCCTAACAGTGCCAGTCAGTGCCGCCTAACAGTGCGTGACGTCTATCAGTGCCAGTCAGTGCCACCTATTAGTGCCAGTCAGTGCCGCCTATCAGTGCCATGTATCAGTGCTGCCTTTCAGTGCCCATCAGTGATGCCTGTCAATGCCCATCAGTGCCACCTACCAGTGTCTCCTCATCAGTGCCCATCAGTGCCACCTATCAATGTCCATCAGTGCAGCCTATCAGTGCCCATCAGTGCAGCCTCATTAGCGCACATCAGTGAAGCAGAAAAATCACATACAGTTGTGTCCAAAATTATTCAACCCCCACTGAAATTGAGTGTTTTGGCCAGTTTGACATTGCTTTTGATCATTCAGTCATCTTGCTTACATTTACATTAAAGAGGCACTTGTAGGTCAGACAAATATAACAGTCTTTTCTGTGCTCACAGCATTATCAGTTTTATTCAACCCCCAAGTGACATTCAATCTTAGTACTTAGTACAGCATCCTTTTACAGTTATAACAGCTTTTAAACGTGAAGCATAGCTTGACACAAGTGTCTTGCAGCGATCTACGGGTATCTTCGCCCATTCTTCATGGGCAAAGGCCTCCAGTTCAGTCACATTCTTAGGCTTGCGCACTGCAACTGCTTTCTTTAAGTCCCACCAGAGGTTCTCAATCGGATTTAAGTCTGGTGACTGCGATGGCCACTCCAAAATGTTCCAGCCTTTCCTCTGCAACCATGCTCTAGTGGACTTGGAGGTATGCTTGGGATCATTGTCCTGTTGAAAGGTCCAACGTCTCCCAAGCCTCAGGTGTGTGACGGACTGCATCACGTTTCCATCCAATATCTCCTGGTACTGAAGAGAATTCATGGTACCTTGCACACGCTGAAGCTTCCCTGTACCTGCAGAAGCAAAACAGCCCCAAAGCATGATTGACCCTCCACCATGCTTCACAGTAGGCAAGGTGTTCTTTTCATCATAGGCCTTGTTCTTCCTCCTCCAAACATAGCGTTGATCCATGGGCCCAAACAGTTCTAATTTTGTTCATCAGTCCACAGAACACTATCCACAACTTTTGTGGTTTGTCCACATGGCTTTTGGCATACTGCAGTCGACTCTTCTTATTCTTTGGAGACAGCAAGGGGGTACGCCTGGGAGTTCTGGCACGGAGGCCTTCATTACGCAGTGTGCGTCTTATTGTCTGGGCTGAAACTTCTGTACCCACATCTGACAAATCTTTTCTCAGTTCCTCAGCAGTCACACGGGGACTTCTCTCCACTCTACGCTTCAGGTAGCGCACAGCAGTCGAAGTCAGCATCTTCTTTCTGCCACGACCCAGGTAGCGTTTCAACAGTGCCCTTTGCCTTGAATTTGCGAATGATGCTTCCTAAGGTGTCTCTTGGTATGTTTAACATCTTTGCAATCTTCTTATAGCCATTGCCCTTCCTGTGAAGAGAAATCACCTCTTCTCTTGTCTTCCTGGACCATTCTCTTGCCTTCACCATGTTTGTAACCACACCAGTAAATGTCTAGAAGGAGCTGAGTATCACAGTCATTTTAAAGCTGCCTAATTGGTGCTTATTATGCTTGATTGCTGCTCGGTGACATCCACAGGTGTTTTCAATACCTGATGGAAAGCACCTGTATGAACCTCTGTTCTTCAGAGTGGTAGTCTTTAAGGGGTTGAATAATTGTGGCAATGAAGAAACCACATAAGAACCATTTACTACTGTATTACATAAACAATTGATGTCATTTTAGTTGCATTTGGGTAGTTACAACGTCCTTGTAGGATTTGATTCTGAATACAATTCCAAATGTACACTATAGTCCCTAAACCCCTTTACAGCATTGGGGGTTGAATAATTTTGGACACAACTGTATTTACAAAATTTTATTACAAAAACTAAGAAAAAACATTTTTTTTTTTCAAAATTTTCAGTGGTTTTTGGTTTGTTTAAGAAAAAATAAAAATCCCAGAGGTGATTAAATACCACCAGAATAAAGCTCTATGTGTCACAAAAAAATGATAAAAATGTCATATGGGTACAGTGTTGTTTGACCGCGCAATTGTCATTCAAAGTGCGACAGCGCTGAAAGCTGGAAACTGGCCTGGGCAGGAAGGGGGGTATAAGTGCCCTGTAGGCTAGTGGTTAAAAGAAAACAGTAAAAACAGGATCAGCCATGTGTTATACCAAAACATTTCCAAAGGTTTATATAATGGAAAATTGTTATGAATATCAATCACCGTACTTTTCCTTTCTTGGTCTGTCCTCACGTCAGCACACATTGGGTTTAACCCCTCCCTTTTGGGTCCTCAGGACCACCTTTTCCAGCTTAAAAAAAGAAATGTTCTCCCTTCCCTTCCTGTTCTGTTATATAACGGTGACAGTCCCCTAGGGAGGGAAGAAAATTGTGCTGACGTGAGGGCTGACCAAAAAGGAAAATTACGGTGAGTATTGATAACAATTTTCCATTTTCCTGGTCATCCTCCCATCAGCACACATTGACATATACCATAGTTAAGCTAGGGCAGGACAGAAATGAAAAATTCAACTAGCATTACTGTTTCACACAAATTGTAATTAATTTGAAGAGGAGCTGACACTACCGCTGCTCCAAACGTAGAGGACCTGACGGAGACTACGTCTAATTTACAGTGACGAGCAAAGCTCTTGCATGAATTCCAGCTAGCGGCTCTGCATATGTATTCCACCGATACCTTTGTGATGGATGCCCATGAGGCTGACATCTCTCTAGTGGAATGAGCATGTAAATTCTTCGGAGGAGCAAGGCATTATTGATTGTATGCTAAGCTGATCGCCTTTGAGGTTCAAGTGCCTAAGATTTTTTGGAGACGCTGCCTCCTTTCTAGGTCCAGATGGGAGGATGAATAAATTATCAGTCTTGCGTATCTGTTGTGATCATTGCAGGTATGTTGACAACAAATTGACCATGTCCAGTGGTCTAAGATTCTGGAGATTATGTGAAACTGGGTTGCATTGCCTCCCATTTTACATGGAATCTTAAGACTACTTTGGAGAGAGACAAAGGACTCAGAATCACCTTATCCAGGCGAATGATGCAGAATGGATCTCTGCAGGATAGGGCTGCTAACTCCGACACCCTTCTTGCTGTTGTGATAGCTGTAAGGAAGGCTAATTTAATTGCGAAAAACCATAGTGAGTATGACTCTGAAGGCCCAAATGGGGCTGTATCAGAGCCTTTAGTACCATGCCACAGTCCCAGTCTGGGAAGAAGTCTTTTCTTGGTGGCCGCATTGTTATTGCTGCCCCGAAGAATTGTTTTATGAAAGGCTCACTCACCCATTTGTGTCCCATGAAGGAAGATAGTGCTGAGACATATACTGTACCTTGATTGAGCTCTATGCCAAGCCTATATTCAGTGCTGTCTGTAGGAATTCTAGTATGTTTGCAATGCTTAGAGTCAGCAGGGAGAAGTTATGTTGTGACGCAAAATCTACAAATTTTCTCCAGATTCTAGAGTATGTAGTGTTTGTTGTAGCTTTCCTTGATTTTAGTACTGTTGAAATTACTTCCTCTGAGAGGTCTTCTGGCCGATTAAACAGCCAAGCCGTCAGTTACAATCTTCTCGGATTGGGATGAACCCAATGCTCTTGCTGTAATAAATCCTTCCCGAGAGGCAGAGGTACTGGCAGGGCCGACGTCATCTCTAGCAGCAGAGGAAACCACAGCCTCCAAGGTCAGAAGGGAAGAATTAGGATGGCTTGGACTCTCTCCTTCGCAATCTTTATTAGGGTCCTCATGATTAGAGGGATCTGAGTGAACAGATACACTAGGGGAAACTGCAGTGCGTTCCTGCCGAGCCCCGTCCCCGGTGACATCAGCGCTGGTGCCAGGAGTCGGTGTGGCTCCTAAGTGAACCTGCTGGAGGAGAAAGAAAAAGAATAAAAGTAAGTCTCCTGCGCCCTTGTTAGCAAACCACAGGAGAAAAATGAAAAGTCAGCAGCTACAAATATTAGGGCACCTACCTGTCCAGGCATCCAGCGGTGTCCTCACCCCTGTCAGATGCTGGCCCTGCCATCTTACTTAAGGGAAACCAGCAGTGGAGCCTTGCGGCTTCACAGCCGGTTTCCTACTGCTCATGCTCGAAGTGCACTGTGCTTTGTGAGAGGGCCACAGTCCTCTGGGACCTGTTGAGTTTCCCAGAGGGCTGCAGGGGGGCCATACTTTCAAAGCCAGGTACCTGCACCCCCCCCAAATGGTTCCAAATGTGGCAGTGGAGGGGGGATGAGCCAGATAAGCAGAGCTTCCACTTTTGGGTGGAACTCCGCTTTAAGCACAGTATGCCCACAGCCCCTGCACTCAGGGTATCCAGTGTTTTAAGAGGGTTTACCTCTATTACTTCTGGACCATCCAACCCCAGGAGAGGCTGAACCTGGGGGTAAAAAGGTATCGTAGGGGGGAATGCTGGTTAATGTACCTTCAGGCCTGGCATGACCAAAAAAGAGAGCAGGAATGGAGGGGAGAGCCTCTATTTTATTAAGTTGGAAAAGGTGGTCCTGAGGATCCAAAGGGAGGGGTTAACCCAATGTGTGCTGATGGGAGGACAACCAGGAAATACTATATTTGCAACGTCAAGTATTTCACAGTGTCTTCACTAGAGCACAAAGGTCCCTGTGAAATACAGTCATGGCCGAAATTGTTGGCACCCTTGATATTTTTCCTGAAAATCAAGTATTTCACACAAAAAAGGTATTGCATTAACACATGTTTTGCTATACACATGTTTATTCCCTTGTATGTATTGGAACAAATATAAAACAGAGGCAGAAAAGCAAATATGACATAATGTCACACAAAACCCCAAAAATGGGCTGGACAAAAGTATTGGCACCCTTAACTTAATATTTGGTTGCACACCCTTTGGAAAACATAACTGAAATCAGTCGCTTCCTATAACCATCAATAAGCTTCTGACACCTCTCACCCGGAATTTTGGACCACTCTTCCTTTGCAAACAGCTCCAGGTCTCTCTTATTGGAAGGACACCTTTTCCCAACAGCAATTTTAAGATCTCTCCACAGGTGTTCAATGGGATTTAGATCTGGGCTCATTGCTGGCCACTTCAGAACTCTCCAGCGCTTCTTTGCCATCCATTTCTGAGTGCTTTTTGACGTATGTTTGGGGTCATTGTCCTGCTGGAAGACCCAGGATCTTGGACGCAAACCCAGCTTTCTGACACTGGGCCCTACAGTGCGACCCAAAATCCTTTGGTAATCCTCAGATTTCATGATGCCTTGCACACAGTCAAGGCACCCAGTGCCAGAGGCAGCAAAACAACCCCAAAACATCATTGAACCTCCACCATATTTTACCGTAGGTACTGTGTTTTGTTCTTTGTAGGCCTCATTCCGTTTTCGGTAAACAGTAGAATGATGTGCTTTACCGAAAGCTCTATCTTGGTCTCATCTGTCCACAAGACGTTTTCCCAGAAGGCTTTTGGCTTACTCAAGTACATTTTGGCAAACTGTAGTCTTGCTTTTTTATGTCTCTGTGTCAGCAGTGGGGTCCTCCTGGGTCTCCTGCCATAGCTTTCATTTCATTTAAATGTCGACGGATAGTTCGCGCTGACACTGATGCTCCCTGAGCCTGCAGGACAGCTTGAATGTCTTTGGAACATGTTTGGGGCTGCTTATCCACCATCCGGACTATTCTGCGTTGCAATCTTTCATCAATTTTCCTCATCCGTCCACGACCAGGGAGATTAGCTACAGTGCCATGGGTTGCAAACTTCTTGATAATGTTGCGCACTGTGGACAAAGGCAAATCTAGTTCTCTGGAGATGGACTTGTAACCTTGAGATTGTTGATATTTTGCCACAATTTTGGTTCTCAGGTCCTCAGACAGTTCTCGTCTCCTCTTTCTGTTGTCCATGCTTAGTGTGGCACAGACAGACACACAATGCAAAGGTTAAGTGAACGTCTCTCCTTTTTATCTGCTTTCAGGTGTGATTTCTATATTGCCCACACCTGTTACTTGCCCCAGGTGAGTTTACAGGAGCATCACATGCTTGTAACATTCTTATTTATCCGCAGTTGTGAAAGGGTGCCAATACTTTTGTCCAGCCCATTTTTGGAGGTTTGTGTGACATTATGTCGAATTTGCTTTCTTTCCTCCCTTTTTTTGTTTTGTCCCAATACACACAAAGGGAATAAACATGTGTATAGCAAAACATGTGTTAATGCAATACGTTTCGTGAGAAATACATGATTTCCTGGAGAAATATCAAGGGTGCCAACAATTTCGGCCATGACTGTATATATATATATAACCAAAAGGAGAAAAAAATTTGAGTAGCTGATAGTAGCTAGCCCCTTTTAAATGGACTTATTCTGCAACATTTCACTAAAACATTTCAACACGTAGATGCCGTCCTCAGATCTGATGAGTGCCAGGAGCATATCCCAGCATTTTGTTAACAAAGATAACTTAATTGCACTACCAATCACCATGCTGTTACTAGGTGTCAAGACAAGATGTTCATTGTCTGGGAACATGATAGAGGTGAACATGGTGGTATCTTGGACAAATCAGCATTTGCCTTGACTCATTTCTTGACACCGTGGTGATTGGGTCAAAGTGAATGTGCTGCCTGTATAGCTTGATATGCTGGAGTATGTGCCTCACATTCTTTGGAACTGAGGATATTACAGAGGCGCAGAGAATGATCTGGATAAACAAGAACCTTCACAAAAACCTCTCGGTCTTTAATTTACAACTAATGCTTCATCTACTGGATTTTTTAACTAAGCCTTTTGCTGATCCAGACACCCTATTGATGATCCTGTTTTAGTCCACGACTCTCTTGGTTCTGCAATTTTGTGCTTTTTTAGAATAGCAACAGACAGGGAGTCTACTTCTCTCATCGTTTTTTTTTTCACCATAGCAATTCTGGCCCTGCTACATTCTGCAATATGATTCTTTCCTCCACACTTAACAAATAGCTCTATAAGCTAGACACTGCTTTGGTTTGTGCATTGTTCTCATTATTTCCACATAATGACTTGTGAATAAGCTGCCCACAAGTCTAGTAGGTGCCTAGGAATGCTTTCTACTTGGTATATTTATATATGGAGTTCAGCAAAATGGCTGGCTTTGATCTGCTATCTCCCATAAACTATAGTTGCAGATATATGCGATTTTTGTTCCTAGTATTTCAGTTCTCAGTGAGGTTATCAGAACATATCAAAGATTTGGAGATTAACAAAGCTTTATGTGTATCAGGAACACTTTTCCATGTAATTGGCCTTTCCAGTCAAACAGTACAGTATTTTTGGGGTTACTCGCAGTTGTATTGTCCTTTGTTTACAGATTTTACCACTTCTGATATGTGATTGATTTACTAAAAACAAATAGGCTGTTCAATTTGCAAGGGAATTTTCCCCAGAATTTAGTGAATGAGGTGAAATTTCGATTTGCAAAGAATACCCAATCACAAGAAAAATAAAAAAACAGCATTTTTGCTTACACAGACTGACAGAAGAATTTGTCTTTGGAAAATACACCCCTATGCCCCTAAATATTCTGCAAAAATGTTCTAGTTTTTTGCTGAGGACCTCATGTGGTATCTCACTGCAGGATCTGTGCTGTAATCAGATTCTGTACAACTGAGGAGACACCGACCCTGGGTTCACACTAGCCCGCAGGCTGTGGGCTGGATGCGGGTGCAGGAATCGCACCTTTTCCCGCAACTAGCCGCAGCGAATCATGTCACAGTCCAAAAGATCATTCAGTTTCCCTAAGGATGCATTTTTTGAAAAGGTGTATGCACCTTTATTGTGTGGGGCACGAGGCAAAGCACCCCATTCAAATGAATGGGCTGCTGTGCCCGAGCAAACGCAGGCCGCACAGCCCAAACTAGTGTGAACCAGGCCTGAATCTACAGAATACCTTCCAGATGACTGATTTACCAGGATAAAATTAACACAATGAACTCCAGGAACTGTTAAGAAACTGTAGTCACACTAGGCCTCATGTACACTGCTACTCCTAAATGTGAGTTTAGGAGCCTTTGGCGTTTTAGCGCTGTCTTTAGCGTGATATGTGTTTACCGCCAGTCCCCCACTGTATTTCCACTGTCTGTATTGGCTTTATCTTGGTTTAATAAAGTGCATTGTTTGGAGTTCAGCGATTGGGGCTTCCTTTGTTCTCATTTAGGCAGCACATGAGCTGGGCTAGCACCTACAGGAGGAGTTGTGCTTGGAGATTGGGAGTCTCTCTACCTTGAGCTGAGGTAAACATTAATAAGTATATGTTCATGCATACACAATCTTTTACCAGAGTTTAGGAGCAGCAGAGTTTAGGGGCAGTTAAACATCCCTCTACAGAACGCAGAAGAATCGCGAGCCGTGTTTAGTGCTTGGGCGTTTATTCATTTTAATGTCAATGAAATGAATAAACGTTCAAGCACTAAACGCTTTTACACACACGTTAAGCCACGTTTAGTAGTTTTCTGCTGCCAGTAGATATAACGTCTATGGCAGTTCAAGTGTACATGTAGCCTAAAACCTAGGATGGCCTTGACCTCTTTCAAGAGCTTCTGCCATTCCTTTGTAAGCAGCTACTTCCCAGCTTCTATACCCCACTGCAGTTTGGGTCTTCCTTTTGGCCATCTTCTTCTAGGCTTAGATCGGTGTTTCTCAACCTTTTTTCAGTCAAGGCACCCTTTAAAATTATGAACAGTCCCGAGTCAACTTTTAAAATTATGGACCGTCCTGAGGCACCCCATGCTAAAATGGGGAGCCTCAAGACAGTCCATAATTTTAAAAGAGCACCCCACTCTAAAATGTGAAAAAACTATTCTAATAGTTTATATAACGCAGCAACATCCACACACGTAGGACACCCAACATTAGAGGTGATTTATTCTTCCAAAGCAAATACACTTTTGCACACTGGTACTGAGTGTTTCTCTTCTCCCTCAGTTTTCTCCATCACTGAGCTGATGTGACCCCATCACTGATGGAGAGGGCAGGGGAGGGTCAAACTAGGATGTTGTGCAGGCAGCTGACATCCTTCTTATCAACTGATGATGTAATTGGTTGTCAAGACGCCGGCGGCTAGAAGGTCATAATGGTGCACAACGAAAACCTGTGGCTGTGTAACTAAAAGGCAGGCTTGTTCCACCCACTGGCTTGTATACAAGTTTTGGGAAATTGTTAGACATTTTGCCAAGGCACCCCTGAAGAAACATCAAGGCACCCATGGTGCCTGGGCACCCTGGTTTAGAGAGGCTGGCTTCGATAGTAGAAATTTCTTGGTAGCATTATTTTATCCAGTCAGATTACATGAATTGTCCATCTGAGCATGTTTAATTTGAAATTCACAACATCAAATTGACCAATGGATTGATAGTGCAGCTGCTTCTGTTGCACCAAGGTTCGGTCAGGAGTGTCTTCACTTTTGGTGCACAGCAGAGCTCAGAATACTGACCCGAGTGGACCATAAAGAAAAGATTCAGTTATTATAATTTCAATACAATTTATGCCTGGGAATATGCAGCAGAGTGGATATTTTTAAAACTGAACTCCTGGGAAAGGAAAAATGGTCCCATGCAGTGGAGCTGCCCCCACACAGCAAAAGTTATATGCTCACTTAGGTCTAGGAGACAGCAAAAACAGTATTACTCACCCAATCCCCTGCTCACACAGGCTCCCTCCAGGCTGAAAAACTGGTCACCACAGTCTATTCCTTTTCTTTGCTCCGGCCGTTGCAAGTCAACTTGTGGGCACAGGGCGGCAGGTGGTCCTTACTTGCCGGGTACATAGCTGTAAGCCCACAGGGTTCTTGGGCTATGCCAGGCAGTTTGGGCGGGGTTACTTGCCCTGCACATGGGGTACCATGTTCAAGTGAAGCCAACCTTAAGGCAGGCTTTGGTTACCCATGGCAATTACTCTCCCCCTTTCTGGTGCCAAGTTAACCTCCTATAGTAGACTAACTTCATACCCCGTATGTGTTTTAACTGACCCAAGTTCATTTAGCTGCCATTTAATCCTTCATGCACCCCTTTAAGTAACTTCATGCCAGGCACAGTGAATTTAGGGAGCATTAAAGGGTTACAACATGACTCCACATTTACAGTCTAGTGCAAAATGTCCCTAACCTAGTCTCACTAGCAGCTGCCCAGGCACACCTTATACAGTACAGGTGATAGTCCATTTCTGGTAGACGTCCATGACTTGGCACTCTCCAGAAAAAGTCGGTGTCTTCAGGCAGACTGCAGGACCCAGCAGTCCCCCTCCGAAGAATGGTGTTACGGCATCTCTGGAACAGGCTGAAAGAACAGAGCATAATTCCATGACTCAGGTACGGCAAGAGGCAGAAGCCCTCAGTACCCAGCCTCCCCCCCTTATAGCCCTACGCTGAATGTAAGGACGTCAAGGGACAGTCCACTGTCAGAGTGTAGGGGAGAAGAGGAAAATGCTGGCTGCCGAGGTATGTACGGGTAAGTAAAATTGCTTTTTGTGGCCCCATAGAACTAAATAAGCATTTAAACCTTAGCCACCCTGCATTGGAGATTTTTCTCTCCAATGTCCTCTAAAATGGGCTTTAAATTTACCTAAAACAAATTATGCTTTTTATTTCAGATTTAAAGTACATATTATGTTATAATAAATAAATGAAACCTTGTGAGCAGCTCAAAATAAGCTCTTACACAATCTCTAACCAATATATTTTTCTACCACTCAGCGAAAGCTGCTCACACTTTTCATATTAAAGTGCTATGTAACAAAAACTCAAAAAAAAAGCAGTGCTTTCTCCTTAAAATAGTGAAATACCCAAACCCATATTTGTCATCAAATACCACGTGACAGTGTGTACCCTCAGTTCAATACCACATGGATAATGAAAAAGTAAAAATTAAATGAAATAGAAAACATTGCTTGCAACCAGAAAAAAATCCCATGACAATCATGTAGTCCTTATTAATATTTCTCCAATCATTTTAGTAAGCCACCAGTCGATGAATATTCAATAAATCTGCTCAAATCTTCTCTCAATTTGTGCACCTACACCAACACACCAGATGTGCTCTCACCTGCAGCTTTTGACCTCACATGTATAATGTTTGGTCAGAGAGTGCTTGTGTCCCTTTACTTGGACTCTGTAGGACACAAGAGTGGATTATGATTCACTCTTGTGGGATGATCACATCCTTTATGTACAACCTCCTCCTTCTCACTCCACTGCTTGGTTTTGCCTTTACTGTCTTCTACAGTAGGGCATTCTACAGATTAAGCACTATAAAGATCACTTTCTTTGCTGAAGGTAACATATCCTCTCTTCAATACACAGCTTATGTCTTCAAGTTGTTTGTACAACCTCATGAAAACGAATCATATTAATAAGAAATGCCTCATCATCCATTAACCCATGCTGGCTGATTCTTTTTCTTTGGGTTAGCTTTATTAAGAGTCTGTGGTGCAGGCTTTCGCTCAATCTCAACAAGTCTGGTGAAAAACCCTTCAAGTGTTTCTTGGACAACAAAACACCACACAGTTAGTTTTACATTCTTTTGAGTTTTCAAACTCAAGGCACAGCCACAGTGTGTCTGCAGAGTCAATAGCTAAAGACCTCCTAACTTTGCGTGGCCTTCAGATTAGCACAACAGTGCGTAGAGAGCTTCATGGAATGGGTTTCCAAGGCCAAGCAACTGCATCCAAGCCTTACATCACCAAGTGCAATGAAAATCAGAAGCAGGGGTGTAAAGCACTCCGCCACTGGACTCAGGAGCAGTCAAAATGTGTTCTCTGGAATGACAAATCATGTTTCTCTGTCTGGAAATCCATTGGACGTGTCTGGGTTTGCCGGTTGCCAGGAGAACGGTACTTGCCTGACTGCATTGTGCCAAGTGTAAAGTTTGGTGGAGGGGGGATTATGGTGTGGGGCTGTTTTTCAGGGGTTGGGCATGGCCCATTAGTTCTAGTGAAGGGAACTCTTAAGGCGTCAGCATACAAGACATTTTGGACAATTTCATGCTCTCAACTTTGGGGAACAGTTCGAGACATGACTTCACACCAGTGCACAAAGCAAGGTCCATAAAGACATGGATGAGCGAGTTTGGGGTTGAGGAACTTGACTGGCCTGCACAGAGTCCTAACTTCAACCCGATAGAACACCTTTGGGATAAATTAGAGCAGAGACTGCAAGCCAGGCCTTCTCATCCGACATCAGTGATTGACTTCACAAATGTGCTTCTGGAAGAATGGTCAAACATTCTAATAGACACACTCCTAAAACTTGTGGACAGCCTTCCCAGAAGAGTTGAAGCTGTTATAGCTGCAAAGGGTGGGCCAACTCAATATTTAACCCTACGGACTAAGATTGGGATGCCATTAAAGTTCATGTGCGTGTAAAAGCAGGCGGCCCAATACATTTGGCAATATAGTGTATGGAACACACTGACAGGTGTTGATGACTTGTCAGTGTTTTGCTGCTCCTTCATTTTTCAATTTCTCTAAAATGTCAAAGCTTGAGTAACAATCTAGGCACAGTTGTCTAACTCCAGTAAGCATCTGTCCATATATGATCTTACAGTTAATCTGACTTGGCCTTAAACATGCATGAATATTCAAATTGATCCCTGTATCTCTAAAGTTCTGGCATATAACAGTTCAATTAAAGGGGTGCAGCTTAGTGCCAGGAGGTGGGAGACTTAAAGAGGAACTTTAAAAAAATACAGTATATTCTGATAGATTACTTAATTCTAGCCCTTTTGCAGGTATAGCTATCTAAAACATTAAAAAAGTGCTATGCTATGTAAAATTCAGTAAGGCCCTGTCTCACCCTGCTCTGCACAGCTTCATTTGTCCTGTATTCTCAGCACTGTGCTGATAACCAATGAGTTGCTAGAGGCCGATGTGCTGACAGTCTAAAGATTTACTGCTGCAGAGAAGGGAGGAAGCTTGAGGAATGACACAGACTATGCTGGGGAGCACAGATTAGGGAGGGAGAAAAGAAAAGAAGAAGTGACAGGACAAACCATGCTGCTAGGGAGACACAAAAGAGTTAACTTCATCTTGATATTCTCTCCTTTCTCCCTAAGTAGCTATGAACTTCAGCACTATATAGCTTCTGTCAGCCTTCCTCTCTAGCTGAGCCATACAATCAAGGCTGGAAATGCACGTATTAATTAAAGAAAGTGACATCATTTTTGAGACCAAGGAGAAGGGGAGAGCTTCCAGTAAGGAAGTGACTGCTCTGGGCTACAGCAAAAGGGCAGCCTCAAGCAAAGTAAAACAGGAGTACTGCTGGAGGGAATTTACACCACACCCTAATTTTGGTAGCATAATTAATAATGTGGAATGTACTGTATGTTCTTTTGTTAAAGAACATTAATTGTTATCAAACTGTTATGGGTAAAGTTCCACTTTAAGCTTGATTTGGGCAGAAGCCAAGGCCTCATGAATATCCTGGATTAAAATACAAGGAGGCTTCTTATGGACACAGGGAAAGATCTGAAAACAAAACATGTACATTTATGTACCAAGTTATCCTGCTCTTCAGCAGCAGTTTTATGGCCAATTTGTTTAACTTTAAACATTTATAAATGTATCTACAGTATCCCTTTAACCATCCTTTTGTAATCCTTGCTATTAATAAAATCAAACTATTTTTTTTGTTATAGATGAATGTGAAATGTTTATTAAATTACAGCCATTTTATGCAATACTTTATAAGATAAAAATCAATACAAAGATCAATGCTATAAATTCAAAAACAAACGTATTGGAGTCCTCTTGCTTGCACCATGTGACATCAGGGACACCATGATGTTCATGAACAGGGTTTGTTCTCGCTCCATTTTAATTTGATGATTAAAGTCCTATGCTTCATTTCAGCAGAGTTCTTATGTAATGGGGCCAATGAAGTGCTGCTGGAAAAACAATTGTTGACCTTTCTTAAGTTCACTTTCCAAAATTCCTCATATTTATGACACACATTGTACAACAAACAACGAGCAGGACAGGATCCTCTAAATATTACAATTTTATTTATAGAGTCCGACGTGTAAATACTGACCCATTCACTGTTAATGGGGCCTGCAATGGTATGCATAATAGAGCCATTGAATCCACTGCAGACTTGCATGGCATTGCAAGGCTCAGAAGCAGCAGCAACAGGCATTGGGCCTACATGAATTTCCTCCTCGTCCTGCGAGTGCCAAGCAGTTATGCAGGAGAAAGTCCTAGGTAACGGATATGGTGAAAGCTTCTTCCATTGCAGGTAAGTGAATGTGTAAGCTTGATATTGCTTCAGTCTAGGTTCATCCCACAGTCTTGTCTACAATCCCATGAAGATACCCATAAAATCAGACCCATTTTGGACTGTGATGGGTGCCCCTGCACCATTGTCAACAAATATAGATGTGTACTGGCCACTCTAGAAGACAAAAAAACAAAAGCATTACTTGAGATACACAATACAAAATACTAAATCATCACAAAAATGCACATTATGGCAAATTACCAGATCATAAACGTGGAGGTTGTGTTTTCACCCAGTTGATTTGGCATTTGTCTTTAATTGGGTCTGAACTCAAAATTAAAGATTTGTTATGTTATAGCGAACATCTAAAATATTAAATCATGCCTAAGCAGTACCTGAAAAGTCTACCTTCTGTATGGATTTCCTCCTGAAAAATAGCAGTCCACTTCCTAGTTTGTAAGTGTGCCTAGGCACAACTGTACCTACAACCTCATAGCTGTATATTTGCAGTGTGACATCTAATGTACCTGCTGCCTCAGACTGCTCGATTTAGGAGATTGGAGTGAGATTTCACAAGATAGCCACCTCCACACAGACACACAGTGCAGAACAAGGCATAGTAAGTTAAGGGGAAAGATTGGCTGCAAGGAGAATACTGGCAATTTTGATGACTAATTATTTTTCCTCTGTCTGCCCTTTTTCTTGGCACAGCTTTCAGAGTTCAGTTCCCCTTTAAAGCTGACAAACAGCTAAATTCACAGATTAGATACATACTGCATGTGGGAGCTGTTTTCCCTTTCAAAGGCTTTGTATTTCTTCCCAGCCAGTCTTGAGAAATACACAGCTCAGCCATGTAACACAGCCGTCTGGCAGAGCAGAAGGCTTAATTTTCTTTCAGCTGCAATATGGTTACATTGATAGGTTTAGTCCCTTCTCCTACCTGTGACTGGACAGTGAAAGGAGAAGCAGCAGGCTGATGAGTCCATCTCTCTGTAACTCAGCTCTTTCTTCCTATCTGCATATTCCTTGTTAGCACATGAGCGATGCAGCACAACTTGATCCTTGTGCTGCTTCTTATTCTCCCAGTCTAAACTCTGCTGTACAGAGACTGCAAAAAGCTCATACTAAGTCAATTAAAGTTCTCACACTGCTCATATTAAAAACATTTAATGATGTCTTGTTGAATAAGATCTGAATTATTTGTCTCTTTTATATATGACTAGAGTTGAGCTTTAAGAATAACTCTGGTCTAATTAAAAACCAGAATACCTTACTTTAAATAAGAGGCTTTATAAATGAAACTCACTGAAAGCATTGTCCGCATATTCTATACCAGAGCATTCTGTATGTCACAGACAGTAAGGAGCCCTGCAGAGGGTGTTCCACCATCCCAAGCAAACATATTCCAGGATCACCAGTTTACCAACAAAGGGATTGGGGTGGGATAGTATCTGAAGCACTGAACAGATGTGCTGGGACCCTGTATGCATTTCAAGATGTACTTTTAAATGTTGACCAGAGTAAAACAGACCTGCTGCTTGAGCCCAGTGAATAAGTGCCCTGTATCTTCTAGGTCAAAACCAGATCAACAAAATGCTTTATGTAAAGTGTTTGCATTATAAAGCCTGAATAGCTACAAGTGGTGGAAAAGAAAATTTGATATGCCATAGAGATAAGCCCTCTTTGCATGTAATCTGAAAGGCAATCTAAAATAAACTTTTGCTTTTTTTCTCGTAGCCTCCCTAGTGGTCTGATTATGTCAGTATTTCTGTGCTCAAAGCGGTACATTTTTTTTGCATTAAAAAAAAGTTGTTTTTTTATTGTAGGCCTGTAATTTTTAGGCATAACTTACTGAAATCTGTCCGAACAAAAGTCTAGTAAACATCCTGGGTATGTTAAAATTTGAAAAACGAAATCATAAATTATAATTTAATAAATAATCATAAAAAACAATAATTTAATATTAATAAATTTAATTCAATAATATAATCAAACCAAAAACACTGAAATTTGAAATATAGCGCCAAGTTCGCACATCGCTGAGCAAAGTCGCAAAATCGTTTTCAGTGTCTGATGATGAATTTCCCCAGGAATCATTATCACTCAATTCTGCAAGTGGTTCTGATTTACTATCGCTGTTCTCTAGCTGGTCTAAAACCGTTTTTGACCTAAAGGGACACTTTTTGGACGCCATGGACATTTCTCAGTTTCCAGGCAGAAAGAACAGTAAATATGCAGGCAGGGCACAGGACAAAGCACTCGGGACAAAATGTATGTGAAATGCTTTGATACAGTAATGTTTTACTATGTGATTTTAGTGTATTTAGTGAATGTCACTTTTTGACAATTTTAAATTTCCCGCCAGTTCCGTCCCCATACGTCCTGACGTCGCAGGGGACGGAACCCAGAAGACAGATGCCGGCATCGGCCAGAGGACATTGCCGGGGACGCTGCAGGGGGGGCATCGCAGGACAAGGTAAGTGAAGAAGAGATCCCAAAGCAACTCTGCAAGGTATTCCCGAGTGTAGCTCGGGGTTACCGCTTGTGGTGCTGAAACTTTACCCCGAGCTACACTCAGGAATACCGCCAGGGAGGTTAAAGACTAGGTACAACCAGAACTGTGATTCACTTGTTGGCCTGTGCTGCCAGTGTAGTGGTCTGTACACTATACACTGCAATACACAACCCCGGACTGAGAATCCATTATAATACATGCAATGGCAAGCGCTGATTGGTCAGCACAGCCATGTGTCGATGCTATCCAATGAAAAGTGCATCTGCGGCTTAATCTTCTGGTAAGGTATCCCAGAAGAAAGAATTGCTTCTCGCTGGTCAGCACAGTCACATGAGTATGCTGTCTAATAAGTGCTTGCCATTGTGAGCATTATGATGAATACCCAGTCTTGGACTGTATCCTTGGGGGTGGCCAGGATATTTGTAGTTAGTTCACCGTTTAATTTTACTTGAAAAGGTGAACTTACCCTTTAAGGCTATGTCAGGTTCACTTTAAGATCACACAAAGACATGCACTTAGTAGAGCATTCCTGTTTCTTCCTGTTGTGTCTCTGGGACAGGAAGTGAAGGGAAATCTCCCTAAATGGACACAGCAAACAAAAAATAAATGGACAGGGGTGTTGACCCTACCCTACTTTACCCAAAATTAAAATCAAAATGACAATTTAAGGTTTAAATTTCTTCCTTTTTGCTGCTTATGCCTTTGCAACTGGCCCCCGTTCAGTGCCCTCACAATCTCTGTAGTCCAGTAAACTTGGGTGGCATAGTCTGTAACCACAGAACACAAAAAATAGTAGATAACTCAATCACAAGATTTCCTTCCAATGTTTATTTAAAGATCCCAGAGCTTCATAAGCTAAGTTTGTTTGGAGACCAAAATGTCAACTCTCTAAGTAAACATTTTCCTTGTGAGCGAGTCTTCTGCACCCTGGCTGGTACATATACATATAAGCTTGTTTAGTCAAACCTCTCTTTGCTTACACACCTCAGACTGTTGAGTGAACACGTTCGAGAAGGTATTTGCATACGGCACAAACAAACGGTTCATTGCTTTTATAAACTCTTGCTAGGAGAAGGGTTTTCAGAGCAAAGTTCTTGGAAGCGAAGCAGAGCAGCAAATCAAACTATTTTAAAGATGTTCATCCACAAGAAAAACAAATGCAGCCGTGGATATCTAAAGACTCTCTAGATGATGTCTGGGGCTTCCAAAAACAATAATAGTCGTTTCTAGCTGTCTCACGCAGACAACTGCTAATGTTCCAGAAAAATAACTGAAGAAAGGACTGCTACGGAATTTTATGATTCCAAGACTTTCAATGAAACGAAAAAAAAAAAGGTTCAAATAAACAAAGGCTGGAGGATTCCTCTTTATAGATCAGCCTTGAGGGCCACTTGCAAAAACAAAATACCATAATGAACGGCATCCTGGGAAAAATTACATGACTCCTTGAAGTGCATTAGAAAAAAATATAAACAGAGAGGGAGATATTTTGTTATCCCGAAGCAGCTGTAATTGAATGGACAGTTAAAGATCATAAATGGACCATTTATCAAGTTTCATGATCTGTTTAGGTGTCTGTTGTGGTTAGATTTTCATTGGAGAGTCAACTAGAGCTACGGCTGATTTAACAATAATTCAGTTTAATGCATGGCAGTCTGACAGTCTGAGTAAAGAAAAGAAAGATTTAAACTGTGAGTAGAGTGCTTTCTACTCTTCTGTATGGGCAAACAGTCTGTCTCTAGTCCTCAGTAGGAGACTACTATGTTCACAGCCAGAGGCATCTAGTCCTTCATGAGAACAATGAATCTCATGATTAAAGTGTCTAATGGAAAATGTTTCTGCTACCTACAGCTACCAATCAGATTCTCTTTTTTATATTCCTAGTACATAATTGGGTTACGAAAAGGGGGAATATGACTGGAATCTACAGTTAACAGTTGCTCATTCTATACAGCTGATTTTGAAGACCATAGATCATATGACCAATAGACCGTTTAGCTACCCCAATAGGAAGCTTGCTATCATTAAGCCTATTTTTCTTCAGAATTTACTTAAGGAGCACTTACAACACAAGCTATGGCCAAATCACTTTTTAGCTCAAGCAACCTGACTCCTAGATTGTAAACTCAAAAGAGCAGGGCCCTCGAACCCCTCGTGTATCACAATGTATTGTTTTGTACTGTCGCATGTACTGTCTCCCATTGTAATGTACAGTGCTGAGCGCACTGTTGGTGCTTTATAAATACTGTATAATAATAATAATGGCCCCATGGACATTTTAGGCAGGGACAGAGTATAGCAAGTATTGTCTGCAGCTGCCAGAACTCTTTACACCCTTGCTTTGCTATCTATTGTCTTGAGGCATCTTGGCCTGGGGGTAGTGGATAGTGAAACCATGTGGCGCACAATAGTCAGAACTGCCAATCCTGAGTGTACATGTTTCAGTCATGAATGTTTCAATGGCAAGCAGTGAGACTACTTTTGGTACTGCAGATGTTAAAGGAATGGAACTGTGAAGGCCGCTTGTGTATGGGAGTAATGGTGGTAATTCCACCACTGATTCCTGGAATGTAAGTTCTGAAACCAAATTTGTAGTATGAGGAAGCAGATGAGGGTTGTATTTTAAAAAAAGCTGTGTGTAACCAGCAGAGAATGGTTTATACCCGTATATAAGCTGGCCATACACTTGAAAATTTTATGTAGTGATTGAACATTTGATTACTTTTTTTTTAAACCACAAAGAAATTGAAGCCATGCCACATGTCTTGAAGGTTATGGTACAGATGAGAACTGAAAGAGGACATTCTTCGCTGTCAGTGAAGGATTTGTAACATATATAACTGCAATGCATTGTAATGAATGGGGACTAAAGCATCTGTGGATGCTAAAAGCTGCAGTGTCCATTGGAAAGAACATTGGAAGAATAAGGTGTTGGATGTGGAGGCACACCTAGCATCCAGGTTTATGCTGAAAGGTGTAAAAAAAGCAAAAGAGTTGTGCAAAATGCAGCAAGCTCTAAGAGCCTACCAAATCTCACCTTATTGTAATTAGCTAAAACGATATATAACTGGTTCATATAGGCTACCTTTGGCTACACAGGCTGGTTTACTGAATCAAACCTTTGAGATTTCTCTATTCTGATTTGGAAAACTAGCCGCTTTAGCAGCAAATGCTCAAGGCTTGCTATATGTTACTATATGATATAGGTTTCTGAATGTAACTGGTTATGTAACACTAGCAGTTCCTAGGGAAACAAGTCTAGCAAATGTGTTCACCAGGAACCATTGTAAGGGGGAATACGTTTCACATGATACTCAGCATGATTATTTCAGGTCACAGCCCACAGTTTTACACACTAGAATTGCTTGTGTGTCAGTGGCTAACTGAAGTGTGATACCTAATAGATAGGTACAAGGGCCGTCTGTTAACAACTTGTCAGGCAGGCCGTATTTAGGCAGAATTGTGATACAGGTACAGGTGAGGACACTGGGACTAGAGCTATCCTTAATGTGAACCTGTGCTATGCCACTGGAAAGCAACAGGTCGGTTTTAGGCTACGTTCACACTAGCGTTGTGTGCAGGCGGCAGAGAGGCGTTTGGGAAGCGTTTTTACCGCTTCCCAAAATGCCTCTGCCAATCCTGCACATTACAGCACATGGTGCTGTTCTAACGGGAGCGTTTGCGTTGCATCGCGGCAAAACGGACATCTCTGGTCGAGTCAGGAGGCTTTGAAGCCTCCTATTCTTGTCTATGGTGCCGCTCCGCAAACGCCCGGCCGGCGTTTGCGGTGCGGTTGCGACGCGGTTGCGGGGCATTTGTAGAGCGGTAACACCACTCAAACTGCATTATAGGCGTTTGTGGGGCGTTATTAATGCTCAGCAAACGCCTAGCAACCTCCGCTAAACCGCGCATGCGGCGTTTGCCGAGCGTTAAAAAACGCCCCGCAAACGCCAGACCAACGCTTGCCAAACGCTATAGGGGTGTTTGGCAAGCGTTGGTAAAACAGCCAAGTGTGAACGAGCTCTAAATGACACCTCCCCCCCCATACACACACACACCTTAGCTGCACATACTTTCCTTTCCATTGCTTTGTTTTGTTCTCTTTAGCCATTGTGAAAGACAAATCTGTATAAGCTCTGAGACACTCCAGATGGAACAAATGCAAGGGTGAGGACTCTCCCTGAGCACTGTAACAGCACTAGGCCTATCACTAAGTACCAGCACCGTCATGGCTGAATGGAGCATCACGGGACGGAAGGAAAAGAAAGCATTTACTGTTGGGGAGGTGGCAGTAACTTGCTACTTGTCCCTCCATGGCAAAGCACCGGTTTGTTTTAAGAGAAGATGTGAGGCAGTTTGCAGGAGGTAAGCAGGACCCACCATCCCTTACACCACTAGATTTAAGTATGACTAACCTGTAACTGTAGCAATCCCTGAACATGCACAGTAAATATTTTACTGTTACTTTCCAATCCAGCAATTACTTCCAGGGACCTGAAAAACATAATCAGAGACAACAATTTAGGATTAAGCATAAGTAATGGCCATAATAGCTTTGGTACATCATTGCATTTCAAATATTAAATTCTTTACATAACCAAATGCCATGAAAGAAATACAAAACACTTAAAGAGGAATTTCAGTCATGTTTAAGAAAAAAAAAGTCAACAGCTACAAATACTGTAGCCGCTGACTTTCAATAAACAGGTACTTACCAGCCGAGGGATCCAGCGCTGTCTTCATGGCTGCTGATGCTGTGTCGGGTTTTGTATCCCCAGCACCACCATCTTGGATGTGGAAGCTGGCTGTGACTTCCTGACAGACAGGTTGTTCAGCCTCTTGCGATGTGCCAAGCCAATGTAATTCCTACCTAGGCAAGAATTGCAGAGGTAGGAGCAGGTACCTCTCAAAAAAGGGTAACCACTCCAAGAAAAAAAAAAAGTAGTAATTTTGTTAGAGGGAGGGGGGAGGTCTGCAGTGAAGAGAATTTCTTCCAATCTATTTGTGGGCTGGAATGGTGTGTTTGCCTTGTCTAGATCCCATCAAAAGAGCTGTTTTCGGTCATTAAAATTATCTCTTAAAT